TCTATTTGGTCATCGTCACTATCACTTTCGATAGGCTTTATGTTGAGTAGAGTATAAATTTCAGCTTTAGACATAGACTCATATGTTTTACTGTTTTTTAACAGAGAAGAGAAATCATCTACAATAAAAGGCATATTAATTTACTTTTCAAAAAACCATGACTCAAAAAATTTTTACTACTTGTTTAAAACAATGAGTTAAAACAATTTTCTCTATGGTTACCTGAAAGCTCTAACACATAAGCTTCGTGTCTTTGACCATGCAAAGTGATGAGCACTTTAGCCCGCTTTTCGATTGGTTTACCACCTTCAACCATTGAAATATGTTTAGTGTCCAAGACACTGATCGTATCATCAATTGTTAAATTTACCCAGCAATTTTTTGCAGTTTTTGTTAATTTTCGTAGCATCTTCACCCAAAATATTAAGAATAGAATGTAGGCAAATGTTGAGAACAAAACGAGGTGATGATAGCATGCGCAACTTGGAATGAAACTCACAAGAAAGTTATCACAATTAGTTTCCGTTTTTATATAAGAATGTGTCACAAAATATTCAGCTATGTCATTGATGAGTCATATGTATACTTAGATACGACGTGAGACAATCGCAGCTCATTGCAAAAGCAACCAAAATTTATTAATGCATAACATATACATGTATATATAAGATCATCTATTAAAAATTCTTTTGTTATATCGTGCCTTTAAACTATTTCGTGAATAAATTATCGTAAGTGTATACTGACACTTTTTTATGTCATCATTGAGATACAAAGCAATTGTCAGTGTGCCGTTTCTTATGTTAATAGCACACGCAACTTTGAATGAATCTCAAAAGAGTGTGTATTTAAATATTATCCTGATACTCAGGTTAAATAAACGAAAATTTGGGCTCGGTGTATTCAAACGATTGATTCTTATATTAGAAACAAACATTTCAATAAAAAATATTGTAAGTAAACTATTTTAGTATAATGCATTTATAATTTTTGTAAGTAATTGGGTTTTTTCCACACCAATAAGTTTTCAATAAATTGTTCTGTAAAATAAACTTGTCTCTCGATTTGTGATAGTGTTGTTGCTTCCATGTCCTAAACTTAACCCTATAGATGTTGAAGTTTTTCTTTATCATAGCGGGAGTCCGTGTTAAAGATATGAACATCAAACCAAAAGACATAAACAACATAGCATTGCATTCATAATTAAAGCCCGCCGCACACATGAGCTATTGGCTAAGCTAACAGCCACGCGTGAAATTTGCTTAGCTGTTTACTCGTGTGTGCGCATAGTTTTTCCAGCGTATTTTGACACGCGTGGCCAAGAGAAAAAAATTTGTCATGTTTGATCATTTTTAACATTCGTGCCAAGAAACGCAATGTTTGCGGGTGCTGTGAGTTTAGAGCTTAGCTGATAGCCAATGTAAGCCAATAAAATCACTTACTTTATTCACGTGATTTTACAATTATGTATGTATTTACTTACAACATGGCGGCAAATGAAATGATAGACGAGGTTCTTTCGGGAGACAAATAGGTAGAATTATGGCCAGATTATCCATGCCTCTATAATGTTCGTTCATCTGAATTTAAAGACAGAGTGATGAGGCAGAAGGCTCTGGACGAAATTGCGAAAGCAGTCAATAAAAACGGTATTTTATGCAATTTCTTGTAGACTTGTTTTTGCTGTGAATTGTGAGATGTGATATTACATGAAAACCTTCTACACTCAATGCTCGACATTGCTTTGTTTAATTTTAACAATGGAATGGGTAAAGAACAAACTGCGAACTTTAAGGAATTGCTATACGAAGGCAAAAAAGGCACCTCCTTCGGGAACTGCACGGCGGAAACTTTCTAAGAGAACTTCTTGGGTTTTGGATAAGCTACAATTCCTTGAAGAGCATGTTGCCATCCGAGCAACAACGTCTAACATGGATGATGTAAGTTTTTAGTCAATCATCAAAATAGTCATAGTTAACACGTGTTCTCTTGCCATGGTATAGAACCTGCATCTGACACAAAATACTCAGTCAAATGCATACGTTGTTTCTTTGCACTATTTGTTGCATTTCTTGATGTACTGGGTTGTAACCCTAATAGTTGATAGTTCTCTCTCCATTTGCCTTGTATAAGTACCTGGTTTTCAGTGTCTTCATGATCCCGAAAATTGACATAATCATTCTTGTTCTTCTCTATCATAAAGTTATGCAAACAGCAAGCAGCAAGGATAATGTCAACAACCTTTTCTGGGTCAAGTTTGATAGTTGTCAGAAATACTCTAAACCTGTTGGCTAAAATGCCAAAGGCATTTCAACTACACGTCTTGCTTGTGAGAGTCTGTAGTTAAAAATTTGTTTTGGTTTATCCAGATTTCGATGAGGATAAGGTTTCATGATATCTGTTCTCAATGGGAATGCATCATCACCAATGATATGATAACAGATCTTTGTTTGGATTCCTTCAATTGCTTGTGCTTGTGGTAGTTGAAGGCAATTATCATCTAAAGCTTTCTTTAATAATAAATTTTTAAACACACCGGCATCCCTAGCTCTCCCTGTAGCCCCAGCATCCCCAAATAAGAATTTATAGTTTGCATCAACAAGGGCAAGAAGCAAGACACTAAAATAGTGTTTGTAATTAAAATACTCAGAACCACTGTGTGGTGGTTGTTGTATGGCTATATGCTTTCCATCTATTGCTCCCACACAGCATGGATAGTTCCATTGTTTGTGAAAACCATCAGCAACTTTACGCCAGTCATTTTCTGTCAACGGTATCTAAACATAAATAAAAAATTGATATTTCTCTTCAAAATTTACAATCTAATTAGGTTGTGTTGAGTATGAAATATTCTCCAGGCTATAGTTATAATACTTATAGTGATTATTTTCCTTTTTACAGACAAACTCTTTGGTGGCACGTGATAACAGTGATAATGAGAATGGTTCCATGCTTCAACATGCCATAGATTCTGATGAAGATTTAAACACGCTAGATCTTACTGACAATAACCAATAGGTTATCAAGTCAACCAAACTACCAACAAAGCCAAGGGGAAAGTCATTGAAGAGAAAGTTGGAGGAAGAAGAATTAAGTGTTATGAGAAGCCTGACTTCTGCAATTGTTAATGATAGCAAAAAAGCTCAAGAGGATAAAGAGCCAGGGGAATGTGAATCATTTGGAAAATTTTTAGTGGAGTCACTGAAAAAAATGGATCAACAATCTAGACATTATGCTCAGTATCAAATCAGTAATGTGTTATTTTAAGCACAAATAGGCATGTTAAATCCAGTTCAAAACAATTCAAATACACCACAGCAAGATAGATGCACTTCGCAGTATTCTGCACCACATTATTTCCACTTTAGAAACAATCATGGAGTTTGATAAAGGAGTCTGAGTTGTTACATTTTATTGGAACTGTGACTTTTCATATAGCTATTTTAGCTGAGCCTGGTCGACTTTCTTTTGTTTTTATTAGCTTCTATACTTACTGTAAGAAATTTTTGTTTCATTGATTTGTACAATGCCTGGCATGTTTCAAGTACAATTTTAGATATCGTTCGTTCTCCCATACGATACTGGAAAGAGAGACTTCTTAACGATTCTCCTTCAAAAAAATAAATGATGAATAAACTTTCTGTTTTTTAATTCACATACTTGTTCACGTCGTGCCAAAACTCACCGGTTGCCAAATAGCGTAAAGTAACTGCGAGCCGCTCATGTTGACTAATGATTGCTCTCATCCATGTCTCCTTTTTCTGAATTAATGATCTAACCATGTTCAAAATAAAGTTAAATGAGTTGATATCTAATCGGTGATATTGCCGAAAAGATTCGGTATCTTCGCCCTTCAGTTCTTGGAGGAGATTTGCGTAAACACCACGGCCCTGGCGTTTAAGAATCCATGACTTGCTCCACGTTGTTCGCAAATTAGTCTTGCGGCGACGGCGTTGCCGTAGAAATATTAAAAGGACTGCCACTCTATGAAGATTTAAATGAGCCGCCATGTTTGAATTTCCCGCGAAAAGTATCGGCTGAGCGCATGTCGCGTCTGTTTGCGGCAAACACGTAATTTGAGTAAATTTCACGCGTGGCTGTTAGCTCTGCCAATAGCTCATGTGTGCGGCGGGCTTAAGTAGATATGACACATGTCAGATTAAGTGATATTCGTACTTGTTATTGTAAATATCGTTATTCGCTGATACTTAACTTTGTTATTAGTTCCACAATGAAATCATAAATATTTCACGTACAATCCGAATGTCATTGTCGAATCACAAATAATTTAACAGTCCGAAAGATAAGTATTTACAGAGCAATTACACACTTCAACGATGCACTAACACATTTTTACAGTGCATTTTATACATAAACGGCACTACAATCAACCAATCACTGGGGGTTAAAATCTGTGACTGGTGAGCTATACAGTTGCATGCATATTTAAACCGGCCTAAACTTCGTTTTAAAGGTAATCCATCATTGATATTCCAGGTGCAACAGTAAATGCAATGTTTTCGAAAACTTTATACTTGTATTTCTGTACGTAGATGAAACCAAACTATATTGAAACCATATACGAGAATATTAAGAAAGAAATACGGGTATGACACGAGAACGATATGCGTATAAAATGAAACGGTATGCGTATGATACGAGAAGGATATGCGTATGATACGCAAAATTATGTTAACAAATACGCGAGCGGTGCTGTATATGCTGCCTCTCGCACCAAGTAGGCAAAAATATTATTATTTTAAGTGTTTTTTTCATTGTATCAAATCTACTAATTTAATGCCTTGATGTAAGATCAATTACTGGGTCATGTCACTAGGCAGTGAACACAATTTTTATCGAGAGAAAGAAATGAAGCGCACAAGTCTTTATAAATGACTTGTAGCAATATTTTTAATTTATCCTTTTAATTTTTGTGAACATTTTCAAATTTTAAATTATACCTTTTTCCACAATATCATTCCTCATTTATAGAAAAAGAAATGGCTTCGCCTCCCAAAAAATTAAAAACTGAAGAAAACGGATCTCGTTTAAGTAAACTTTTAATCAATAAAGGAACCCAAGCCTTAAAAACAACATTGCAATCTTTATTAAAGCCATCATGTTTAGCTGGTAAACTTAAAGATCACTCTACAAAGAAGACACTAACATCTTTGAAATTTAAAGTCATTAAGAATGAGCAATGGGATCTTCTTTACCCGTCAGTTGGTGACCCTGACATTGAAAACTTTGACATCACATTATTGACTGTCTTATTGCGAAATATATGTGGTCTAACAGCACCGCATGGTGGATGGAATAGTTTTCCTTCCTCTTCAGATACCTCAATCTCAGCAAATATTGCGAGAATAAAGTTTTATCGAAACGAAGTGTATGGTCACATAACTACAACTAGTGTAAATGACAGTGAGTTTGAGAACTTGTGGCAGGAAATGTCAAAAGCATTGGTTTGTCTGGGTATTCAACAAACTGAAATAGATGAATTAAAGAAAGCTCCCCTCAGTGCCGATGAGGCAAATTATATTGATATGTTAAAAGAATGGTATAAAACAGAAGAGCAGTTAATCGATGTCACTGAAAAAATCAAAGAAGATGTGAAAGTAATAGAAAGAAATGTGGTAGAGATGAAACAAGAGATGGCAACAAAAGTTACGAACTTAAATGAGGATGTAAAGAAAACAAAAGCTGATGTAGCAGGAGTAAAAAAAATGTTACAGGACAAAACATGTTCAGTTGTCGAAAAGCTTGGAAAGTGTAATTTCAATGGTCTTATAAAAGATCTTAACAAGAAATACCTTGAAGGCACTAGACAATGGTTATTCGAAAAACGCGACACTTGGTTTAACGATGGAAAGGAAAATGCTTCTAATGTCATGATTTTGATTGCCGGTCCTGGCGTTGGTAAAAGTGTGTTTGCTGCTGAGGTGTGTCGACGATATTCTGAAAAAAAGAAACTTGCTGCTTCTCATTTCTGCAAGTATAATAGATCAGATTATAGAAATCCTCGAGTATTGATAGAATCTTTGGCTAGTAGCATGTGTGATACAATATCAAATTTTAAAAGTAAACTGAATGAAGAATTACAGAGAAACCATTCCAAAGAATCGATCACCGATAAATTCCTTGTTTTATTACATAATCCATTGCATTCATTGGAAGATCATGAACCAATGCTTTTGCTTATTGATGCCTTAGATGAAAGCCAAGTTGATGGCAAAAGTGAATTGTTGGAATTGATTGCAGAAGAGTTTGACCGACTGCCTAAATGGATTAAAATCTTCATCACCAGTCGTCCAGAACTTCCTGTTCAAAAGGAGTTAAAAGTCATGAATCCTGTGGAAATTACAATTCATCCTCGTGATAAAAACAACGAAGAAGACCTGTATAAGTATTTGAAACATATGTTGAATTTTCAGGTGCATGAACATTACTACGTTCTATCGTCATTAGTTAAAAAATGTGAGGGATCATTTCTTTATGCGTATTACGCACAACTGAGCTTGAAAGAAGAAAATACTGAGTTTACTCACAAAAACATTCAAGAATTGGTCCCTAGTGGGTTGGGCAGTGTTTACAAAAGGCAATTCAAAAGAGTAAAAGAATTGCTGACAGAGAAAAGTCTTTTAACCGGAAATTCAGTTATTTCAAAAAGCATCTTCAAGCAAATTCTTGAATTGTTGGCTGCCTGTCGGGAGTTTTTACCATTAACTTTATTGCTTGACTATTTAGGTATTTCTGGTGACAACAAGTTTGAAGTCCGCAATAAAATCATTGAACTGTTATCTCAAATTTTTCCAGTTTACGATGATTGTTTAACCGTGTTTCACAAATCTTTAATTGATTGGTTGAAATCAGATGGTTACAAACAGCATGAGTTTACAGTTTATCCAAAAAATGGTCATAAGTTTTTATGGCATGCTTGTGAGAAAGTGTTTAAACACATCAAGTCGATGAACATTTTTGAAGATCAGATGAACACTGCTATGATTAAATATGCTTTGAAGAATGGATTCTATCATATGTCAAAATGTGGCGAAGATGTTGACGTTAGCTGGGCAGTGGATGTCAAAGTGGTTTGTGCAAGAATAACGTTTGTGGAAGACTTTAACATGTATACCATTACCTCTGAATTGTTTGAAATCATTGAGGAACTACGACCTTTCTTAAGAAAAGATGTACTTGAGGAACAACTCTTCCATTGGTATATTTTAATGAGATTTGAGTCACATAAGTTGGATTGTAGCTTAATTTATTTACAAATTATTGCAAACGGAATTCATGGCAGTAAGGAAAAAAGATTATTGGCAGGGGATTTATTGAAACAAGGAAAGTTTGTTTGGTTTGAGGATTTAGACACAACATATTTAACAAACCGTCATCATTTGAGTGTCTCCTTGCATGCTAACGTTACATCTCTTTGTGTGTCGTCCAATGAAGAACTTCTTGCTGTAGGATGTGAAAATGGTCAAATATCAATTTTTGAGCTTCCAGAATTTACAGAAAGATGCACTCTAGGCACCTCACTCGATGAATCAAGGTTGGGTAAGTTAAATGTAAGCACAATTATGTCCCGGTATGGCATCTATGACGATGGAACTTTAAAGATACTTTGTTTTGCACAAGGAAACATCTGTTGTTGCTCCTTTTCACCTACCGGAAATAGACTGGTAACTAGTGATAGATATACTGAAGTAAAGTTGTGGGACGTTAACAATGGACGTTTGTTATTATGTTTACAGTCAGATGATGTCGTTAATCACTGCTCTTTCTTAGATTCTGGTTTGTTTATTACAGCAAGATATGATGGAGTTTCTTCTAAAGATGTGTTCACTGCATGGAATTCATTAACTTTGCAAAGAATCGATCAACGCTGCGTTGTTGATTACCAAAAACTACAATGCACCGATAAATATTCAGAGTTCTTTGTTGCACAATTCGTCAAGAGATCGTATGTTTTTCAATTTCCAAAGGCAATCGATATTTTTTCAAGAAAAAAGAAATATTCACTACCTTTATATTTAATGATAACACACCATTATCGTGATTGTATTTTTTATCATACAAGCCAGAATGGAAAGCTTTCTGAAATCACTCAGTTGACAAAATACAACGATCAAGGAGAAATCGTGTTTTGTTTACCAAATGCTTGTTGTCCATGTGTTGATAGGAAATTTAAAACAGTCCATCCCATCTCGTTTAAAGAATTTTACGTTGTGCCGTATTTTTCCAAGCTTAAAATTTTCAAAACTGATCATCCTTTGAAACCTTCATTTATCTTTGAGAATTTTAAAGTTAAATGTTGTTGTTTTTCACCGGATGGATCTTTTTTGGCTGCTTTCGCTGTTGGTGACCACGTCAACATTCATATTTTGAGCATTGAACATTGCACTATTATTCAAACAGTGCCAATGCAACTGAAGAATGCATTAGGATGTTGGTGGTCAGATGGTTTACTGTGGATATGGGATGGTTCTGATCATCTTATGAAGATATCCACTTCGTCTAAAAATTTTGTAGATTCTACTCAAGCAAAGCATGTTAACAGTGGATTTAAACCTAAGGAATTCTTAACATTTGGTGATGTCTTTGTTTGTATTGACGAACTATATTTTGTTCAAGTTGTTAGAATTACCAAGGGTGAGATACAATACAACAAAAGACTTCCTGTCTACAGTTTTGAATTAAGAGCAGCAGCTGTATCACCTGATAATTCTGTTATTTTAATTGTAAACAAAACAGAATACACATTATGGAAATGGGGAAATAGCAACAATGAACTTTACTTGAAACCTTGGCATACTGCAAAAATACCCATAACGTCTTTTATTGAAAAATTTGCTCAGGAAAAGATAACTGCAAATTGTCGTGAAGTCAGTTGCTCTATAAGTGATAGTAACCAAGCGGTCATTGCATTCCCTTTTAAAGACGACAATTTCAAACGGAGAACTGGCATTTATGTAATTAATGTGCATAAAAACAATCACGTGAGTACGATTTTGCATAGTATTGATGGATTTTTATGGTCAAGCACATTCGTACATAAATCATATTTCATTGGTGAATCTTTTCTCACGTTGGTTGCTGTAGATTTAAACAGTGGTAAAAGATGTGCTACATTTTACTCATTAGGGTGTGTATTTAATAGAACTGTACATTACAACACAGGAACTTTAGCTTTAGTAACAAATGGTGGATGCGGAATTAAAGTTTTAAGACTCAATGTACCTGAATGAATCCACTAATTCAACCTTTTTTAGTTATATTAACCTATTGTACCTACTAACATTACATATCACTTAAAACGAACATAAAAAGTTCTTTATATCACAAAAGGACAGTTATTTATGTTATCAACAACGATCTCAAATATATTGCAGAAAAAATTGTCCATATCCTTTGTTTTAACCCTGGGAAAACTGTCAGATTTTAATTATGTAAAAATATCACGGACAGAGAGAGAGATTAGTTTTTTGTAATGTCAAGTAAAGATCTTTTTCATCAAAATGATTCCCGTCAACTTTCAAATTTATATTTGGAGAATTCAACACTGTAACATTGTCAAAGTTGTGATGAAATTGAGAATATCACACGAAGATGTTGATTGTCGTAAGGATGGTCGCTTGTTTTACATGTGAAAATTACCAAAAGTGAGAAACCTTTGATCTCTGAGCGAACTTTATGTTGATGGTTTATTTTTTAATACAAATGTATGGTTAGATGATTTCGTTATTTGCATTATATATTAAACGTTCACTACATAGAAATGAAAGAATGTCGACAACTCATTCATTGTGAGTCATTTGACAATATGGTGTTGTTGTAGATGAACATTATTTTGTTTAAATTATAGAGTGACTTTCTTTGAACATTCTTTCAAAAACTGTAAATATAATTTACCTTACGCATGTTAATATCGTGGAAACAAGTTTTGTATGATGTTAAAAATTCACATTTATAAAACACCATCATGATGTCATGTCATGTCATTGGGTTTTATGGTCATTTATTGAAAAATGTGAGCGATCATTTCTGTACGTTTATTATGTACATATGACCTAAAAGACAGAAAATGTTATATACTGTCAACAATTCCCGTATGTAAAAACTTCATGACGTTATGTCAATAACTATGATGAAAATTAATGAGTAAAACTTTCACGATTTTGACATAAGTTCATTTGAACTGAAGAATTGAATTTTTTTGAGTAAAATTTTCTTGATTAAATTATTGAAGAATGATAAATTTCCCTTTCTGTTTTCATTATTTAAATTAAAATTTATCAGTATAATGTTGATGGTAATACAACGTACAATATATAGCTATAGTTCTAACTTGTAACAATTGTACGCAACAATAAACGTTTTACTGATAATTTTGAAGATTCATGTGCTTTAAACACTTTAATGTAACAGATTTTTCTGGCTCTAAGTTTGGGTCATCTTATAAAAAACAAGTACGAATAGCGTACATTTTGTTGTCTTTTCATGATTAGTAAACAACTAAGCTAAACATTGGAGTTTTTCAAAATAAACATGTTTCAACATCTCGTGATGTCCTCTTCAGTATTAGTGACAATATTATGTATATGATACAACATATATGGTAGTAATGTGATACAGTGACAGTTAATTTAAATATAAGTAGATTATATACAATAAAATATTGACATGAATTAATGATAAATGTGTTTACAAGTTCTTCTCTAATTTAAAATTTTAAAATCTTAAGTTCTTAAGTCTTTCTAACTTTACAAAAGGGGAGGGATAACTAAAGACAGAGTAATAAAATTAGGGTAACCTCTCGAGCAGGTGCAACCCTTAACCTTCCGTCTCCGGCTTGCACAGATCTGCTTTTGAGTTCTCCCAAAGTTCTCCTCGGTTTGCATAAGCCTGTGCAAAAACATGAAGCATCTTTTATTTAATTGCATGATCATGTTACATTTAGGCTTCATTTGACAAAATTTAAGGCTTGAACTGCGTTTACACTATATACCAGATTTGCTCATCAAGATATCTTCATTTGGTTTCAAGAGGTAACAGTTTGGAGTAAATTCTTATTGAGTTGATAGATTTTAGTCAATTTAATTGTGTTTCTTGCATTTAACGATATTACTGACTTTTAATACATAGAAAATTTAACCTGAAACGATAGCAATTTTATACAGTAAACAGGGCCTTATTTTAGATTACAAATATAAAGTTCGATGTTTGAAACGGGCGTAAAAATTTTGTTCAAAGACGTTAGAGCATTAATTATTATATTTATGAAAGGTCATATGCACCTTGAGCCAATAAAAATAAAAATTTTTATCGTGATGTCAATTTCAGTAGTGTTAAAGTATTTAATTCTTATGTGTTTACTTTAACGACAGTCAAGTCACTTTAACTTTATAGAGAGGAAATGTAAGTACTGTGTATTTATTGGCGAACAGGCGAAGTAAGAAATATATGGAAGAAATTAACAGGTCTTGTTAAAACCTTTGTAATGTAAAGGATTTTACTTTTCGCGACTAAAAGGGTTAAATTTAGAGTGGGAAATATGTACAGAAAGGATGTCTATGACGTCTGTTCTATATTGGTTAAATATTGAGGTTACACCACAAATGGAATGATAAAAAGTTATTAAAAGAACATTGTATAACATGTATGAACATTTATGTTGGACTATGAAGACTGACTACATTCTACAAATATGGAAAAGAGGCAAATGCAAAAGAGAAGAATGAAAAAACTTGATCCAGGTTTTATAGTTCGTAATTAGAGTTGACAAGTTTTAAATTTAGTTTGCATGTGTATGAGGTTATTATGAAGGATCACCGTGGTTGATTTTTACAATTTGAAAATAAATAAAAAATCATATTTAAACTAGGATTTTGTGATTAATTTAACCTAGTGCAGAGAGCCTTTACCTCATCAAAGGAGCCTTTGTTAAAGTGCTTATATTACGAAATTCAGCCCCCCTTTTTTATGAGCTTAATTGAAAATTTGGATTATTTGAAGAACTATGACATGTCGCTGGACTTAAACAGATAAATGTAAGTTCCTTAATTTTGCCTCCAAAGTCGGGTACTATTTGCGAAATTTTTACGACGCCATATTGTTACTTGTGACGTAGATAGTTGAACACGTCTGTTTCCGTCAATATAATATTATATTATAAAGGTTGATTTTGTTGTCGTTTTTCTTGTCTTAAAAACAAATAATGACAGTATTTTCAATAAAATATTAAAAAACAAGTTTTCCGGAAAGTATGGCCGAAAATAAGTTTTCCTCGGTTTGCATAAGCCTGTGCAAAAACATGAAACATCTTTTATTTCTTAATTGCATGATCATGTTACATTGAGGCTTCATTTGACAAAATTTAAGGCTTTGGCTGCGTTCACACTATATACCAGATTTGCCTATCAAGATATCTTCATTTGGTTTCAAGAGGTAACAGTTTGGAGTAAATGCTTATTAAGTTGATAGATTTTTGTCAATTTAATTGTGTTTTTTTGCATTTAACGATATCACTGACTTTTAATACATAGAAAATTTAACCTGCAACGATAGCAATTGTATACAGTAAACAGGGCCTTATTTTAGTTCACAAATATAAAGTTCGATGTTTGAAACGGGCGTAAAAATTTTGTTCAAAGACGTTAGAGGATTAATTATTGTATGCTTGAAAGGTCATATGTACCTCAAGGCAATAAAAATAGGAAATTTTATCGTGACGTCAATTTCTGGCTCTAAGTTTGGGTCATCTTATAAAAAACAAGTACGAATAGCGTACATTTTGTTGTCTTTTGATGATTAGTAAACAACTAAGCTAAACATTGGAGTTTTTCAAAATAAACATGTTTCAACATCTCGTGATGTCCTCTTCAGTATTAGTGACAATATTATGTATATGATACAACATATATGGTAGTAATGTGATACAGTGACAGTTAATTTAAATATAAGTAGATTATATACAATAAAATATTGACATGAATTAATGATAAATGTGTTTACAAGTTCTTCTCTAATTTAAAATTTTAAAATCTTAAGTTCTTAAGTCTTTCTAACTTTACAAAAGGGGAGGGATAACTAAAGACAGAGTAATAAAATTAGGGTAACCTCTCGAGCAGGTGCAACCCTTAACCTTCCGTCTCCGGCTTGCACAGATCTGCTTTCGAGTTCTCCCAAAGTTCTCCTCGGTTTACATAAGCCTGTGCAAAAACATGAAACATCTTTTATTTCTTAATTGCATGATCATGTTACATTGAGGCTTCATTTGGTTTTCACTCGTTATTTTTTTTAAATGCATACTAAAATATTTCAGTTTCTAAAGAAAAATTACAACACAATAGTCTATTTTAAAGCGTTCATTGAATTTCTAAGAGAAAAAATGTCGCCAAGTAATTGCACGAAGCATAAAAACTTATGCGACCAACAAAAAAGCAAGAGACACCAAGTAACCAGAGTCAGATTGGAAAAGAAAAATTTTAAACTACGACGTTATTTGAAACTGAATCAAAGGTTTTACCAAAATCAAAGGAGACCACTCGAACAAAATCTGTATGCTCGTTCAACCATTTTAACCAAAGATACCGACGTTTGTAACCCTTACAACTTAACTAACATATATTACTGAAAGTACTTAACAAAAAACGGAAAATGCCAAATGAGAAATTAATTTAACCTCGTGCAGGGAAGCCTATACCTCATCAAAGGAGCCTTTGTTAAAAGATATTATATCGTTTCTTACATGAAGTACGACAACTCAATGTTTCCTGTTTCTTGCTTGTTTCCATTTTTATTTGAGGGAGAAACTTTTCCTTCTTGTTTCAATGTAATAAACCATATTTAATCATTTGTACTTTGCTTGAAGTTTTTTCTTATGCCAAAGAAGACAAGTACCTCCAAAGTTTGAACGCTTCTACCAAGGTATTTATATAAACAACTAATATTTGAAATACCATCGATCAATTTTCTATAAAAGCGATTGTGTTAAGTAGCGTAGTCAGTTCTCAAGTTTAGTCACGCTATGAAAATTTCGGAACTTTATGATCATTTATTTCTTTGGAAACCTTTTGTTTTCATTGAGAGTCTTTTACTGATCATCAGAAAGTTTAATAAAATCAATTGTGTTTTTTTAATGTACACCGTGAATGTTTAACGACGTCAAAACTCAATGTTCTAAAGCTATTCATCCGACATCACTATTTACTTAATAAAAACTTAAACTGTGTTTGCATTAGCCTGTACAAACGTGCGTATCTGAGCTTCATCAATTATATCAATCAATGATAATTTGCAAATGAATCATGAATACATGTTAGAGAAAAATTTTAAACTTTTTTCTTGAAGTTGTCTGTTTCGGATTACTATTATTTACAAAAGAACTAAAAGATGTTTTTTTGTGTTTGTACTGTCTTATGCAAACCTTGAGACTTTTGTGATAACTCTCTAGCTGGTGCAAACCTTCAACTTTCGGTGTAAAGATTGCACTGACATTGTCTCCAGTTCTACCAAATGTCTCTTCCGTTTGCTTAACCCTGTACAACAATTAAACATCTTTTATTTCCAAATCCCATCCTATATTCAATCTTCACTATTCTCATATTCGAATTTTCTTCGTGGGTGTACAAGAGGTGAGGTGTGACCTTTCCCTTACTAATTATCAATATACCAAACAACAAATTTTTGATTTTATCTTCCTGTCATCCATTAATATCCATTCATATTAACCATTAATATCCATTTGTGTCCTTTATTGCAGACGCACAGAGGGTCGTTGATATATATTTAAATTACGCCTGTGAATAGGCTTTGTCGAATATCTTTCAAAGATTGATAAATGATTTGTCTAAAGTTGCCCAAGGATGTCAAGCTATTGAATTAGGAGTGACACCAGTAAGTTGATGAATATGTTTCATAATGTTTACTTCTCTACATTCTCTTGTTGATATCTATGCCACTCGAAAAGGACTGGAACATAGTCTATTATTATGAAAAGGACTGGGACATAGTCTATCAACATGAAAAAACTGGAGCATAGTCTATCAACATGAAAAGGAGTAGAACATGTCTCTAATTTTTTGTGCTGACAATGTTGATTATAATACATCTTTTATCACGTTTTTATATGAATAGTATCAATGTCGTCTAATTTTTATATGATTTTTCCAGGTTCAAGAACGCAGTATTCGTATCAAAGGTCTGGAATGTCTCGTTTCTATTCTTAAATGTATGGTAGAATGGAGCAGGGATCTTTACTTTAAACCTGATTCTCAGGTGGACGATAATTTTGGTGAGTTTTAACATCTTTATGAAACTGAAGAAACTCGCATGTAGCGATTATAAACTTAATATTGTTATACATTTCGATAAGTTATCGCTTTATGATCCATTGTACTCCTCTTTTGATATCGCCTACACTGACGATTTTTGTCTCCATCAAGATTCCATCTTTCTATACTCTGTATCCTCTATTTATTGAAGGTACTCCATTATTTTCTTATACACACGTTAATGTTCTTAATCGTAACTAGTTGTTCAACAATTGTAGTTAACCTCTCAGGATCTAAGTTATCCATTAGTTATCTTACTTACCCTTGCTGGTCTCGCGGTGGTTCAAGGCAGCTTACGTGATGAAGCTTCAAGAGATGAACTAAATTTGTACTTTTGTACTATTGCAAGAGACTGAATCTTGCTTTGTAAGACTTTGTTGCTATTAAAATATCGGAAGTTGCTGTTTATAAAAATGTCATTTCTCAACGCATAACTTCCGTTTGAATTGGATGTGAATATCTCAATTTTCGCCCACGGCTGCACAGAACTGTCAATTAAATTATCGTTCGCGGACCGTGGTTGGTGCATACTTTGAAAAATCCTCTTTTTTCCTCAAAATATAGCAAAGCAAATGCATCAGGCGTCAGCATGCGTCCCCATGTTGAGTTCGTGTTATTCGTCATGAATAACATGAATGAACTTAAATGAACGAACTGATTTAAGTGATTTTATTATTTTACAGAGCAGTATTTATAGTATTCATTACAAGATCCACGCGCTATGAAATATGAATGCGTTGTTAGAATGTGGTGTTAGGCCCGTTTCAAACGACAAACTTTACAAGTGCCGAATGCATTAAAAACAAAAGATAATGAGGAATTTGTCTCATTTTTCTTTGCCTGAAATGCGTTCGGCGCATGTAAAGTTCGACGTGTGGAAACAAGCCTTAGATTAAAATTATTTCGCCTAAAAAATAAAAAGTATAAGCGTATAGATGTTTAAAACTTAATGTGAAATTATTTTTCAAACAATTTTACGTTCAATTTTAAACATTTTTGGGAAAACTTTTAGTCATGCATTGTTGCATGACCTGCATGACCACTGGCGTCGCCATTGACTATAATTTCATAAAGTCGGTGTCACCACTGTAGAAAGTAGTAATAAGTTACTGTTAGACTTATTTTATTGGTGGGTTTATTTTGATATGATAAGCACATGGTTGGCACTTTGCACATTTGGACTTGGGATTAGGTTGTCTAACGGACAACTTGTAATCACGTTATCAATAAATAACTATATAAAAAGCAAGAGGCATTCAAGCTTTTTAAAACCACATTTCGGTCCTCTTCTGCTTTTTAACGTGCTCTGAAAATGACTTCTGAAATTAAGGAAGATGAGACAAACGAACTTGTCAATGTAAAATCGCAACAATCTGCTGAGGTGAGCATTGTCCTTTTATCATTTTTCAAATTGCTTAGAATGAATTCTAAGATCATTCTAAAGAAATACTAAATATCTTCATTTAGGAAAAATGGAGTGCCATATTTAGACGAAAACGACCATCACCATCTCTGAATGCCAATGGTCCACCGGAGAAGAAGGTGAAAAAGGATCAATGTGATCCACACATATGTTTGCTTTGTTGACAAGAGTTGACAAGAGGATCCAAGTCGTACAAACAAAGGTAAGAAAACAAAGGTAAGAAAACATAATGGAAAGAAAGGAAATTATATGTCAGTCAATGTGCCAATAAATCATGTGAAGGCCAAGCATTGTTAAAACAAAAAAAGATTCAACAAAGGGAAGAGCAGATTGCAAATGAAGAGACTGTTAATACAGTCAATACATATCTGTCATCGTCATGCACGTCCACGATCACGTCCATGTTTTCTGGTCATGAGTTATATGTGAATGAGGATGATAGCACTCAGACCAGTACTTCTTATACTGGAAATACGAATGTTATATTTCCAAATGTATTTGTAACTAAGGATAGCAACACAGCAGGGAAAATACAATCCACGGTAGCAGATTTTTTTGACGAACAAGGATCGCAAGAGATTGATGACGTATCAGACAATCCTATTGCTAGAATTTTGGATGGTGTCAACCAAATTCTAGTCAGATTACAGGCATTAAACATGGATGGTGCTGTTAGAAGAAGATCAAACCAAAATCCCATAACAACCTAGATAGAAGCTGTTAGCGATGCTGGTGTGAAGGCTGCCAGCAATTTGGTGGAATTGTCCAATTGCGAACAAATACAAGTCGATATTCTGACAGATGGATGTCGCGTAACCCGTGTTCCTTGCCACGAATATATCAAAGGAAATCCTCTTTTAAAAATTCAAGTGATTGCTTATTGTAGAATACAAAGTGTATAGATGTAATCTGATTAACACATTTTCTTAACTTTTAGGAATGGTCAAAACAAATCCTGGGGCCTTGGTCTGATCTATGATGTTGCTCGGAGTGAAAAGTACTCACAAGGATGCAACCAAGAATGGTACAGTTTTAAGAAAAGAATCCTCGAACATGTCAACTGTAGTTCAACGCGAAATGCTGGTCAATTCCATATGAAGGCCTTACAGTATCATTTGAGTCAGAAACAACGAAAGGAAAGAAACTATGACACTAAAGTTAAGCTGGTGTCTGCAGGAATAGAATATGTAAGATCAAGACTGCGGCCTTATCGTACGATTCATTGGTAGCATTCCTTTCCTTTTGTGGAGTAGATGTTGGGACTATCGAACATGGAAGGTTTGATTTTAAGGGGTTTTTTTTTGTATCGCAGGTATTTTGTCATTAATCTCAGCTGTCTATCTTCCAACATTATAGAAAGCAGTTTCCACATATAGTAAAGGCTGCATATATCCACGTCATTAAGCAAACGGCATCGTAACTACAAAAACCTCTGGTAAATACTGGTTGCCCCCCCCCCCCACACTTTTTAGTTGCAAAAGACAAATCTACTCCTCACAGAGACACGAATCAGGCCATAATGTTCTTTTTACTGGTGAATGGTAAACGTACTGCGATGCCAATTGATACTCCACTAGTGTACGAGTACAGAGATGCAGATTCCGATGACGAAGACACTATTAGAGGAGGTTATGGAGACGATCTTGCCGTACAAGTAATTGAAATTTTAAAACGATCATTGCAGCTAACTAGCTCGGATTTTAGGTTGTTGCGAGGTAGGATGTTATTATGAGAGCTGTCTGTGTCGATGTCTGAGTAATTTGATAAACACGTTCTCGTTTTGCTTACTTTCATTTTCTAATTGCTTCTAGGTGTTCATGCTGATGGACAGTACCAAGCGAGTACATTTCAAACGAAACTATACGAGCTTTTGGGGATGCATCGAAAACCAGATCCATACTTTCTTCTTCCTTGGGATGCGTCCCACTTGCTAGACCTAGCGATCGATGAGCTACATGAAAACTCCTTGTCTTCCAATTTTATCAAGCGTATCATCAAACGCTCTATTCGCTTGCACACATTATTTGAGTACAAGACGTATTCCGAAATCAAGGATTAAAAGCGCTCGAAACTGTGACATATGCACAGTGGCGTAGCTAGCGAAAAACATTTGGTCGGGCTCACGAGGCGCCACCATGGTTGGCGCGGAGCGAGAAAATTTTCCGAATTTAGACTCCCTAGAACGTCGGAAACGGCTATCTTAGAAAGCAAATGCGTGATATTTATGCAGGAAATAGAACCATTTTGGTTAATTTAAATTGCCGAAGGATCTTATAGTAAAGCAGAGAAATAGTTCAAAAACAGTTGCAGATACGTGATTTATTTTCTCAACACCACATACATAAATAGATACCTATGTACATCTTGTAAAGAAACTTTGACAAAAGAACCAAAAAAGGCTCAGATTTGTCATCAACAACTATCAAAAGTTGTGATGCCGTTCATTGTCGTGCTGAAATGACAATCATCATTGCCTGCATTAAAAAGTTCCCGGAAAAATTCTCACATGCCATGGACGTAAGACATCATCAGCTTGCTATCAGCCATATATGAATACCTATTTGTATAAGAAAGCAAGTCTTCGTGGTTTTTCAATGAACTTCTTTACTACCTCATCATGCAATGTGTTGGCGTCTTCTTTCTCTGACAGTATGTCTTTGTGAATGGAAATCCTGCAAAGAGAACTAAAACGTCCTTGGCTCATAGTATTTCTAAGATAATTTTTTACCCTCTTCAAACAAGAAAATGACCTCTCAACTGAAGCACTTGTAATTGACAAAACCCCATTTATCTTTAACAGTTTTACAACTTCTGGAATACTAGATTGAAGATGGAACTGAAAAATATATTTCAATAGTTCATCGCATGAATCACGGTGAAAGTCTTTATCTCTGTAAATAAAACAAAGTTGGCTAACTAGCATTGGTATGTCAAACATATCACCATAAACCTCCTTTAGAAGATTTATCTTTTCTGAGGGCACTTCACCTTTCCACATTTTAAACACCCTAGGGTTAACAAGGTCTAAAAATCTAAAACGCTCCATATCCTGAAATCGCTCAGTCAGCATAGTCACAATTGTGTCAAGAATTTCAAAGTACATTTGTTTGTAATTATGCCGTTGGTCATACCTGGTTACTGGTGGTCCCACTTTCTCAACAGCCAGGTCGTACACCTGACAATATTCTGTATCATTTCTCAGAGAAGCAACAAAGGCCTTGAATCTCTCAACCCTACTCACTCCATAATGAAAGTCAGTGTCCTTGTCTTGCAAGATAGAATAAAGTATGGATGACTGCTCCAGAATTCTATGGAAAACAAGTACCAAGAAACAAAACAAGAAGCCATTGAGGTAGCCAAGTAAACCAGTAACCTTACTTAACGTTTCATCATCCCAACCTATTGGATTATCAGTAAGATTTTCAAATATGTCTATCAGTTTCTCATAGTTAGAATGCAAGACATTGATGACATGAGCCCTATAATACCATCTTGTGTCACCAGGACTAGGAAACTCAAGCCTATGGGATGATAGTAAAGCTTTTCTTTTGGGGAAATTGCTAGTAAAGGTGCAGAAAGCACTAATATTAACAAAGAAAATCTTAACAGGTGAAATGGAGGATGCAGCTGGACATAATACTAGATTTAGTATATGGGCAACACAGTGAACAAATTGACCATAAGGATAATCCTGCTGAACTTGAGCTTGAACACCATTGAGATGACCAGACATAACAGATGCACCATCATAAGTCTGTCCAATAAATTTCTCTTTCACATTATTATATTGACTTAACTTACCCTTAACCACTGATGATATAGCAGTTGCAGTCCTATCACAACTAACATCAACAAACCCAAGCTGTCTTTCAATGACACTTTCCCCTTTGTCCATTCGAACAATTACACTCAATTGTTCTTTGGTAGAAACATCAGTTGCCTCATCAACCTAGTAGTATAGTACATGGGGGTAGGGAATCAAAAAAAGTTTACTTTTTTTTATTCCATAACCCCATGTACTATAGTACTTATAACCGTGGGTAAAAACTATCTTTATAACAGCGTAAAATAAGACCATGGTTCAAAAGACGTCCCTCAGTAAAAGGTCATGTAAAAAAGCTGTGCAAAAAATCGTTATTTCAAAACAGTGTGAAAAAGGCCATGTTTCAAAGGCGTCCCTCAGTAAAAGGCCATGTAAAAAAAAGTCATTGTTTAAAAATTTGGAATCTATATGTTTTACAAACGGTCTTTACAAGCATCGGTTCGGAGAGGGCTCGGCAGCGCAGAGCACTTCGTGCTCGAGCAGGGGAATGGAGCCCTCGAGAATTCTGGAACCCTGGTGGGGAAAATTTTCACGAAGTGAAAATTCGGGGTTCCCCCATAGATTCGATGAATATTCGAATAATATTCGAGAATAACAGAGGCTTAAGAAATGCTCTTCAAAAAACCGTCTTTAATAATCAAGTGTTAATAATCAAGTGTTAATAAAGCATCTTTTTAAATCGTTGTTAGGGGCGAAGAATTTCAGGCAACTAAGCCTGAAATTTTGAGCGCAACAATGTGATAGATGCTCTTTACAAAACTATGGAATCTATATGTTTTTTAATTTGTCTGTCAAGCGCGTGTCTTAGTGCATGTTCTTAACAATGGTTGTTTAATGTAATAGCACATTTCATCAGCGCATGTATAATAATACAATGTTGTACAAAATATGGAATCTATATGTTTTTTTAATTTGTCTGTCAAGCGAGTGTCATATAATTTTTGTTAAAAATGTTTTTAATAATTGTTTCAGGATTTTGAATTCTTTTGTATATCGCTTTTGTATTAATTACTTATTACAAACAGTTATGTTATATGTAGTCAAACATGAGTATTATTATTCATCTTAAGTTTTAGCTTGATAGTTATCTTTAATAAATTTTTTTAATTTTTCGATTTCATCATTTACAAATTTTTTAGTTGCTAGAATATTATCTTCTATAGTAGCCCCAAAATTCGGGGAATAACCATTATATATCATAGATAATGTAGATTGATGATGTGAATAAACTTGCATTTTAGTTAATCCGGTAAATGTTTTAAGCCATTTTTTTGCCCATTCATTCCATCCTAGTGAAGCAGCAGTTTTTTTTGGTTCAATAATAATAGTAATATTGTTTATATTATCATCAACACAGTATACATAATATAAATCTAGAGTTACATTAGCTATCTTTTTTTCATTATCATTTGTTATTTTAATGATAAATTTTTTGTTAATCTTATCTACCATAATATCTAATTTAACTGTTTTAGAGTTATCAGATGGATTTATTAATAAAAGTGTAAATTCAACAAATTTAATATTATTAAAAACAATTCTGATAATATTTTGTTGGCTATTAACATTTGTGTTATAATTTAATTGGTTACTTTGATATACTACTTTACTATTTACTATATCATCTATTTCATTTTTAGTATAATAGTTATTGGCTAAATTAAAATGTAAAGCATATCTATTATCAGATTGAGTTCGAGTAAAAAATTTATTTAAATTAGAAGTCAAAGCATATCTATTATCACTTTGAGATTTGTTATAGTGGTCATTAAATTTAGTATCAACTTGAGATTTGTTATAGTGGTTATTAAATTTATTATCAACTTGAGTTCGAGTATAAAATTTATTTAAATTAGAAGTCAAAGCATATCTATTATTGGATTGTAATTTTGTATAATAGTTATTAGCTAGTCTTGAAACAAGAACATATATATTATCACTTTGCAATTTGGTATAATATTTTAGTAAATTAGTAGTCAAAGCATATCTATTATCACTTTGAGATTTGTTATAGTGGTCATTAAATTTAGTATTAACTTGAGATTTGTTATAGTGGTCATTAAATTTATTATCAATTTGAGTTTTACTATAGTGGTCATTAAATTTATTATTAACTTGAGTTTTAGTATAATAATTATCTGATAGATGTGTTTTATCTACAGATCCTTGTATATTTACATTAATATCTGTTTTATCATGCCCATAAAATAAGCTCATTTATATTATTCCTCAGATTTTATATCCGATTTATTATTTTTATGTTCGTAAACATGCTTAATAGTTGTCACACTACCAGATAAAAATCCTAAAAAAGGCAATAGAGGGGATACTTTTTCTACTAAACTGTACACATCTCGTTTTAAAAGATCGTCTTCTTTAAGCTGTTTTGTTAATTCTTTTGGACATTTAATAACATCAAACCCTTTTAATATATCTGAAAATTTTGATATAACTAAGTCAGTTAAAAACTCATTGGTTTTTTGTAATCGTTTTTTCTCGTATTCAGTGTACAATTTATCAATAATTTTTTGACTAGCTTTTTTAATGTAAGCAACTGACTTGTCTAAATCACCATCTTCAGCTAGTTTAAGTAGTTGATCTCTTTTATTAAAACCCTCTTGCGGTTTATCTTGTATATTATCATCACATACAGAATCTTTGATATTATCATTTGCGGAATCAATCTCATTAATTATATCATTAATTGTTTCAGGCTCTTTACGCTTTGGCATATATATATAAGACATGTTTTATTGCGGAATAACAATTTTCCATTGGTATGGGGATACAAGTTGAATTTCTAAATGTGCATACTTATTATTTTTCAATTTTTTGGTTATTTCTTCTATATCATCTTTTTCAACACCATAAAGATAATCATCAAATATGGTTTTCATATCATTGCGGTTTGTATTATAAAATGTAACTAAATAACTTATGTTTTGGCGGTAGGGTTTAGAAATACTAGTCAATTGCTGTGTCACTACAATTGTAGAAAGCCCATAATGACGAGCACTGAACCCTAATCGTACTAATTCCGATGTCCTATTTTTAACATCTAAACAACTCGCACAGTCATCAAGTATAATAAGACTATTTGTACCTTTATATACATCACTAACATATTTTAAAACAATATCTACCTGATCTTGGTCACATTCTACTTTAATTAAATCAGAATCATTTATATATTTCCATAGTTGATAAGTTCTATTATATGACAGCGTTGGGCATATTAAAATGATATAATCAAAATGTTTATTAAAGTTTTTTTCTAACATTGTGAGAAGGTAATGACTTTTACCACAATTCGTCATTCCTACAATAATCATATTAAAGGGTGTATCCATTTATATATTACTGGTTATTTTAGTATTGAATACTTTGTAAATCATTATTAACAAATTGAATAAGAGCATCACTAAAAACATAGATGTAACAGTTTAAATCTTTTGTATATGCTCTTTTTTTAATTTCGAGCAGAATGCCGTTTTGCGTATTCATGATTCGTTTCCCGTTACCAGCAATATTTTTTTCTTGAAAGGTGCGTAGATCGATAACTAATGCAAATTTATTTTTATAAAATTTTTCAATTGTCATGAAGCAATCTATTGGAATAGTTCTATCAAAAAATTTTCTTGCTTCTTCATAAAAGAGTGTTTTATCCACGCCTTGGGAAAAAATGCAATTGGGAGTGCCTTCTATAGTTAATTTAACTTCATCAATGTTTGGGTATATAAATTTCTCGCTGTCACTAATTGAATTTTCTGTGAATAGTAGTACGATGCCTTTCATTGATTTGCGAGGAACATTTACGTTTATGTTTTGTAATGTAGATGCTTTATCCCATTTTTCTTTTTTTAAAAGAGTTATATGTTGATAAAATAGACTTCTTCCTACAGAATATAAATTTGTCACCTCATCTGCAATTTCTTGATTCTCAATAGTTTCATATTCTAGTTGGATATTTTCTAATTCATACTCACCGATCTTTTGACCGCTTTGAGGAATAAGTACTTGATTACTTGGTGGTAATGTGATTATGTATTGAAAGTTATTATTCATATTAAAGGGCAATACAACCATGGTCTTTAATAACATAGTCAATATTAATTTTCTGTCTTGTACCATAAATATCATACATTAATTTATCTGATACTTTTTCTGCACTTCCACTTGTTGCAGCACTATCATCCTTAGAAATAAGTTTTCGTAAATTTTCACTACATATACCATATTCAATAAGGCCTTGTCTATCACTTTTAGGTAACCACAAGTCTTTGCATACACTTATAACATTATGTTCACTACAATCGTAAAGAACTTCTCCGGCCACTTTAATTTGTAGTCTATGTTGTAAAATCTTACTGAGATTATTTAAAAAATGACTTTTTGCATTACTGATTTTAAGATCAAACGATAGATTAAGTGAACCGGGCACTAAACAACTATTTACTTTCAATTTCGGAATA